ATTCGATACCGGGACAAGAGTATTGGGCCTATTTTTCCTGGTCGGGGCATTCGACAGGGAGACCCCATATCTCCTTATCTTTTTATTATTGGAGCAGAAGGTTTGTCACGACTGATTCAGTACGAGGTGGATAGGGGTACTATTACAGGATGTAAAGTGGCCCGTGATGCCCCCCATTAGTCATCTCTTCTTTGCTGATAATAGCCTTCTCTTTTTTAATGCCACTATGAGTGAGGCTCGAAAGATTCGGCAGCTCTTACAAGAATATGCGATTGCTTCAGGTCAGGTAATTAAGTTCAATAAATCTGTCATTTGTTTTAGTCCTAATACCGAAAGAGCTATTCGAGGTGCTATATGTTATACACTTGGTGTTCAAGAAAGTAATGATTTGGGTCGGTACTTGGGTTTACCCTCAGCCATTGGTCGTAATAAAAGAAAAGTTTTGAACTACATTAAAGATAGAGTGTGGAAGCAAATTTCTACTTGGAAGAACAAGTTTTTGTTTAGGCAGGGAAAGAGATATTGTTGAAGTCTGTGCTTCAAGCGATTCCCACCTATGCTATGTCACTTTTCCTGCTGCCTAAGACTCTCTGTACGGACATGTAACAGATGATGGCGAGATTCTGGTGGAGTAAAGACAAGCAGTTTTCTAAGAGTATTCACTGGATGAGTTGGGAAAGGTTAGGTCGTCATCGGTTTTCAGGTGGGCTTAATTTTAAAAAGGTGCACGAGTTTAATATGGCTATGCTAGGGAAGATGGCATGAAAGTTTTTAACTCAACCTGACCTTCTAGTTTCTAAAGTTTTCAAAGCTAAATATTTTCGTGATTGTAGTTTCCTTGAGGCTCAGATTGGCTCCAACTCTAGCTTTGTTTGGAAGAGTATATTTGCAAGTAAAGATTTGTTGCATACGGGCATACGTTGGAAGGTTAGGCCGGGCACTAATATTAACATTTGGGAGGATCCATGGCTGATGGACAAGGAAAACCTTTTATTACTACAGAGAATCCAGGAAGCATTGCGGTAACGCGGGTCAGTGATCTCCGTTCACCTAATGGTTGGGATTGGCCGCCTATTGATGCCATCTTTAATGCTAGAGATTGTCATTGCATTCAAGCTATTCTGTTGGCAGGATCATCAAGTAATGATATGTTTATTTGGGCCCATGATAAATCTGGTATTTACACAGTGAAGAGTGCTTACAAGGCATTAACTTGGGATGCTACGGTGGTAGGTCACGGAACGGACCGAGCGCTTTGGAAAAAATTATGGGCGGTTCGAGTTCTCCTTAAGGTACGCAATCTTATTTGGAGGGCAGCTAATAAAATTCTTCCCTGTCTTAATAATTTGGTAACAAAAAGGGTGACTGTTCAAGATATTTGTCCGCTTTGCCACACTTCTGAAGAGACAGTTTTGCATATTTTTGTACATTGCCCATTCGCACGTCAAGTTTGGGGTGCTTCTTTCTTGGGTTGGTATGCTCCAACTGTGGGATCTTTCCAGGATAGGCTTTTAACTGTCTTGCATTTGTTTAATGAGTACGATAAGGGCTTAGCGCTCCATCTTCTATGGATGATCTGGTCTGCACGTAATGCTAAGGTTTGGAAGGGAGTGAGACGTTCTCCATTGGAGGTTTGGACGCGGACTTACAGGGACTATGAAGACTGGTGGAGGATGGCAACCCCTAGGAATTTCACATCGACTAATCTTAGAGCTGAACGTGGTACAATAAAGGGATGGGAGAGGCCACCATTGAATTATTTAAAGGTAAACATGGATGCCTCATCAGGACTTGTTGATAGGTATGTGGGCCTGGTATTTATTGCGTGAGATTATGAAGGCCGATTCATAGCTGCTAAAAGTATTAAATGTAGAGGGAGTTTTGGTTCACGTGAAGCAGAAGCCATCGCAGTTAAGGAAGCACTTAGTTGGATTAAAAATAAAGGCTGGAAATAAGTCCTTGTGGAAACAGACTGTAAAGAGGTGGTCGATTCACTTAATAGTACAATCAGGGACTGGTCTTACTTTAACTCTATCATTGAAGATTGTAAGCGTCTCCAAATGCTCTGTGCAGGAGACCTTAGTTTTTGTTTTACTCCTCGTTCCGGTAACGAGGTAGCGCATTTGTTAGCGCTTAGTACTTGCTATGATGATGTTGTAGGGGAGTGGCTTGACACACCCCCAAACTTTATTTCTTTGATTTCCTAATTTAATTGCTTCGTTTAAAAAAAAGCAGATTTAATGAAACGGTTGGAAAAAAATGTTTAGTTAACCATTACTATCTTCAGTATTTGTCTAATTTTAGCTTTTCCAGTTAATTCTTTTGTAACATTTGACCTATAATTAAATAAAATATATATTGTATATTAATTAGATAAAAAAATATTTTGATAATATTTGATATAATAAATCAAATAAAATTTTTATTTAATTTGAGGTAAAAGTTTATCTATTTTGACCAAAAGAAGTTAAAAAGAGACAAATATTCAAGGACGGAAGAAGTACGGAGTAACATTTGTTTAAAGGGAAAAAAATATTGTTGATAGCAATATATATTTAAGAAACATTATCTTAAATAATCCTACATTTAAATGTTTTTTCAAAATAATCTCACTTTTTACTATCATGAGAAAAAATTCTACCTTTTCACACGCATGCGAGTTTTGGGTTGCCATTAAAAAGCAATAATGGCAATGGAACAGCAACTCCAGCTACTGGAGCCAGTGATGGCACATAGTAGGAGACCTGGTGAACAAGGCAGTCAATGAATTTTTCATGAATGGGGAATTTCCTAAGCAGGTAAATGCTACTAATATAGTACTTATTCCTAAGGTGGAGGATCCACAATCACCCAGTGATTTTAGACCTATTGCTTGTTGTAATGTTATATACAAGACAATCTCTAAAATCCTTAGTAATAAACTCAAGAAGATACTTCCTACCATAGTAGACCCCAATCAAGGTGCATTTGTGGAAGGGAGATTAATGATACACAATGTCTTATTATGCCAAGAACTTGCTAAGGGTTATAATAGGAAGACCATCTCACCAAGATGCTTGATGAAGATTGACCTTAAAAAGGCCTATGATTCTATTAGCTGGAGGGCCATCACAAGCATTATGGAGGCATTGAGATTCCCTAGACAGTATATTGAGTGGGTTGATTACTGCATCTCCAGTACAGCTTTCTCCTTACTGCTAAATGGTGAAAGCTTTGGATATTTTAAAGGAGGCAAAGGTATAAGACAGGGGGATCTTATATCCCCTCTTCTATTCACATTGGTCATGGAGTACCTGACTAGAACACTGAAGTATTGTGCTGAGAAGAGCAAATTCCAGTAGGGGTGAGCTTCGGTTCGGTCGGTTTCGGGCCAAAACCGAACTAACCGAAATTTTTTTGGGATAAAAAAACCGATCGAAACCGAACCAGTAAATTGGAATAACCGACAAATCGAAACCGATTAAACCGAATTGGTTTCGGTCGGTTATCAAAAACCGAATTGCACAGCACCCAAAACATGAACCTTCATGGTAAAAGATAAATAATGAATGATTGAACAATTTCGTAGCAATTCGCTGATGGGAAACCAAAAAAACATTGAAGCCAAACGAGATTGGGGCTTCTTTCTCTACGTCAACATTGTGTAATTATGAATAAATTAAAGGCCAAATAAAAGTGGCAAAAATTCAGCCCATTTTGCAAAAAAAAACAACAAAACAACAAAACCTTACGAAATTGGCTGAAGAACTGCACTGTCGTCTTGAACTCTCAAAGAAGAAGGCAGAATTGGCTATATTGCAGAGGCTTGGGCTCTCAATCGGATCTGCAAAAGGATGAGGCTTCGAAAATCGCGATTAGGTGGAGTAACAACCAAAACCTAAAATTATAAATCCCAAATCTCAATGTGGTGGAGTACCCATACGCTACTGTCAACTCCCAATGGATTTTAGTGTTTTAGATAATGGAGTGGGCTGATTGCTATTGGGCTAACTTCCCATTGGGCTTTAAAAATGCATATTACGTATTAATTAGTAAACACATATGCCGGTTTATCCAAACAAAGCATGTATATCGGTTATTCGGTTAACCGAATAAACCAATACCCGAAACCGACACCAAACCGAAGTACCCGAACAAACCGATTTTTTTATTATATAAAACCGAAACCAAAATCGAAATCGAATTAACGGTTAGTTCGGTTTTCGGTTTTCGGTTTAACGGTCGGTCTGGTTAAATTGTTCACCCCTAAATTCCAGTACCATCCTATGTGTAAAGGGCTGAATATCATCAACTTGGCGTTTGCTGATGATCTCATTATAGCTTGCAAAGCTGATAGGGCATCTGTTAAAACAATCATTCAATGTCTAGCCCATTTTAAATCAGTAACTAGCCTGGAAGTAAACTATTCTAAATCTCAGATGGTTATGGGAGGTGTGAATGACCATGAGGCTGAGGAATTATTGAAGGAAGCTAAAATGAGCAAAGGAAAGCTCCCATTTAAATATCTTGGGGGACCTATTACAGCAAGCAGAATATCAGAGAGGGATTGTGAAGCTCTGGTCGAGAAACTAACAACACAAATAACAGTTTGGGCATCTAAACACCTATCTTATGCAGGAAGATGCAGGCTGATTAATTCAGTACTGATGGGAGTTATTTCCTTCTGGTGCAAACTTTTCATTATACCTACAATGGTAATGAAAAAAATTCAGAGTATATGTAGAAGTTTCCTTTGGAGCTCAAAAGCATGTTAGAATAAGTGCCCTTCACTAGAGAGGGGGTGAATAGTGAGGCACGAGAATGTTTATAAATTTTTGCGGAATAAAAATCGTAGGGATAAAGTAAATAACGTAAAAAGTAAAGAGCGTAAAAAAGCGTAAAGAGAGCACACCAAGATTTATACTGGTTCACCACAACGTGTGGCTAGTCCAGTCTCCCGAGAGACTCTCTCGAGCTACACTAATTCCGTTAAGCTTACGGGTGCTTAACAAACCGTTACAACCTGAGAACTCGAGTCCCACGAGCCTCAATACACTTGCTCGGAGATACCGCACTCCAAGACTTCAACTCGAAGGAATATGCCCTTCCTTCGTACAACCAAGGGAACAAACCTCCCTTAAAGTGTTCACAACACTTAACCACTCAAGAACAAAAACTCTCTTAAAGAGTAGAATATGAGTAAACTAATTTAGATCAAGAACACACTCAATTCCTCAAGAAATGGCTCTAAAAAGCTATGTAAAAAGTTTATGGAATGATGCAATGTAAAGCTA